CACTGCCAGCACCCTGACTCCTGCCTGTGGGTCCTGCACTGTGCTGAGCTTACTCACAGTCCCGAGAATTATTTTGTGTATTCTCTGAGATTTCCTGCATCCAGTGTCATGCCACTTGCAAATACAGAGAGTTATATTTCTTCCTCTCTGCTCCTTTTCCCTCCCTGTTGCACTGGCCAGCCAGATGTTGGGCAGCCATGGGGAGGGTAGACACCCTTGCCCTGCTCCTGGCCTCAAAGGGGCGTCTGTGGATGCTCTTCACCTCACTCAGAAGGCACCTCCGTTACCGATTTCCTGGGTGTTCACCACACATGGGTCTTGACGTCCCTCTGGCCGTCCCTTGCCAGATGCCCCTCTGCATCCATTGTTGTGACCACGTGGTATTTCTTCTGTAGCCTGTTGATAGGCTGGATTATATTGATGGATTTTTAAATACTGAGCCAGCCTTCTGCCTCTGGAGTGAACTCCGCTTGGTCATGGTATGTGATTCTTTTTACGTGCTGCTGAGTAAGATGTTGGCATCTATATTGATAAAGGATATTACTCCGTAGTTTGGTTTTATCTGGTTTTGGTATCAGGGTTATACTAGCTTCATGGACTGAGTTGGGCTGTGTTCCCTCGTATTGAGTTAGTGGTAACTCTTCTTTCCGTCTGTAATGGACTTGCTGAGACTCTCCATGACCCATGCCGGCACTGCAGGCACACAGGTTTCCTGCAGAGGAGGGATCCCAGCAGGGTGGTGAGGAGTGTACGGGATTGGTCAGGCAAACAGTGTGATTGGGCAACTGTGATTGGAGGAAGAATGCTTGGGGCAGAGGCACTGCCCACGCACATGCAGCACCCTGGCATTGCACTTGGTAACTCCCACCAGGGTTTTCTCTCAGGGACCTGCTGGTGTGGTTTTCCTGCCCCTGCCTCTCATGGGCGGACTGTAGCAGCCCATGGGCACCATTGTCACCTGGGGGTGCCTGACGGTGTGCACGGGTGGCTGTGGGCTCTGAGGGCCAGGGCCTCTGCTTTCCAGGGCCTCCCCGCCCTCACACCCCCGCAGTGGATTCTTGTGATGCCATAGAAGTGAGTTGGCAGATAGGAGCCTCGATGAGACCTTCCATGGCACCTCCTCTGCTCTGGCCAACAGCAGACCCACCTGCAGGGGCTTTGCCCCTGGCCCCAGGTGCCATCTCAGAGACTTTATTTCCAGGCGGGCCGAGTGCAAGGGATGTATTAGGACAGCCCCCTGGGCCAGGAGCAGGTCTCTGGCTCTGGGGTCCATTTACCCTGCATTCTCTGGGGCATGGCATGTCTGGGAAGCCACCACAGCAGGATGGCTAATTAAAAGAATGTGTCAGACATAGTTACGTCTTTCTTGAATGATTCAGAAGGCTCCATATGCTCTGAGGGTACCTGGTTTCGAAGGCTAGTTCTTATAACCTGGGTAAGGTTTGGTAACCAGGTTGCTGTCACCCCCTCAGCACATCCCCGCAGCCACCCCCTACCCTCAGCGCCTTCCTGGGTGGTACTTGCCGGCCGTCCCTCTGCCTGGACCACTGTGCCCCCCTGCATGTCTCTGCCCAGGTGCTGCCTGCGGCGCTGTTTCCCTGACCTCCTTCCTCCCCAACCATTTTAAATCTCAGAAGCTAAGCCTATCTTTAATTTTTCTCCTCAGTACTGCAGCCTCAGCATAGCCTCAGTGGGCCCGTGTCTTTGTCTTGTTCTGTGCTGGATAGGCAGCATGTAGAACAGCATCCCATACACGGAAGCAGCTCACCAGGTATCTGGGGTGCCTTCCTTCCCTCTTGGCCCCCTCCTTCTGACCAGGACTTGCCGAGCTGTTGTGGGAGGGGCCTCTAGGGTCTCATTGTGGACTACTGGCCACTGCTGCTTCAAGCCAAGGCCACGTTCAGGTGGTGGGAGGTTCCCTCCTGGCCCCACCCTAGCTACTCCACCCTTGAAACTGTACTAGGTACAAGGGACCCTTAGCTAAGCATGGGTGCATGCGTGGGCCGGCGCATTTGTGGAGACAGGTGGATGCGTGGGCCAGCACGTTTGTGGAGGCGGGTGGATGCATGCGCTGGTGCGTTTGTGGAGATGGGTGGATGCGTGGGCCAGCGCCTTTGTGGAGGCGGGTGGACCCATGGGCTGGCACATTTGTGGAGGTGGTTATATGCAGGGTGCAGTAAGCAGCCCTGCACTTGCTGCTCTGTGTTGGGGCCCAGGGGTGTGGTGCAGGAAAGCAGGCACGGTGGCACCTGTCAGGGAGAATCTCACCTGCCCAACGCCTAAAGCCTGTGTGTAGCTTCATGGGTCAGGGGACAGCACAGCCCCACAGACAGGTCACTGGACAGAGCTTAGGAAGGCGCAGCAGCTGGCCCATGTCCACCTTTGCTGGGCTCGGTTTCTCCCCCTGTGAAGTTTAAAGAGCAGGGTGGTTGGGAGCTGAGATGGAGTGGATGGAGTGGATGAAGCCCTTGTGGCCACAGGTCCTCAGCCAGCACCACGTCCCCCTCCCTGTGGGGCTGGTGGCCCAGCCCTGGGGACTGCGCCACCTTCACGAACACGCCCACCCGCACGTCCGCCTCCTCCACGAACACACCAACCCTCACAGGCCAGCTTCTCCCCCGCCTCCTTTGTTCCTGTCTCCCAAAGTAGCCCAGAGCCACCGGCACAGAACTACAGGGGGAAGAAACCTGGTCCCCGGGCTCAGGTGTGGAAGGGGCAGCTGTGCAGGTGGGCGTGTTCATGGAGGGGGCGGCTGTGCGGGTGGGCGTGTTCGTGCAGGGGGCGGCTGTGTGGGTGGGTGTGTTCGTGGAGGGGGCAGCTGTGCAGGTTGGTGTGTTTCTGGAGGGGGTGGCTGTGAGGATTGGCACATTCATGGAGGTGGATGGCTGTGTGGGTTGGTGCATTCCTAGAGATGGGTGGATGCACAGGGTTGGCGCATTCCTAGAGACAGGTGGCTGTGTAGGTTGGTGCGTTGGTGGAGGTGGGTAGTTGCATGGGTTGGCACATTCATGGAGGCAGTGGCTGTGTGGGATGGCGCGTTCATGCTGGGGACAAGATGGGGAGTCAGCACACAAGGCGACTGGGGCTCAGAAGGTCCAGAATTAAGTCCCTCCTGTGAAACCAGTGACTGAGCGTGCATCCTTCTCTGTGAAAGTGGGGTGTGGATGCCTGCAGCGCAGCCACTAAACAGGAACACCGCAGCACAGGGGCCACGGGCAGCAGGCAGGCTGTCCCTTCCTGGCCTCCTCGTGTCCACCAGCTCCGGGAGGCCTCCAGTCCGGCTTTGCCTTCCCTGCTGCCACCACAGAGCAGGCCTCTGCGTGAGGTCACGCCCAGAGGTGGTGAAACGGCCACAAGGAAAACACAGCCAGCCCCAGGCCTGGCTCCTGCCTAGCAGATCCTTATCCAGTGGGGGACTGGGGTGCCCACACCCTCTCCCCAGGCGGGGGTGGACTCCAGGGCAGGCCCCGCAGCCAGAGCATGGTGTGTCCCGGGCCCTGGTGCCCCTGCTGACGCCTAGGGAGGGAGTCTAAGTCCCTCCTCCTCCTGGAACCGGCCCAGCCTCTGGGCTGACAGTGCTAGGGTGGCCAGTGCGGCTCCTTGCTCCATAAAATTGATCTGCAAGGCAGGCGCCATGGCGCACACTTGTAATCCCAGAGCTTTGGGAAGCTGAGGCAGGAGAATCGCAAGAGCCTAGGAGTTCCAGCCTCCTATGCCAGGCAACATAGTGAGATCCCATCTCTACAAAAACATTAAAAATTAGGCTGGGTGGTGCGCCAGTAATCCCAGCACTTTGGGAGGATAGCTTGGGCCCAGGAGTTGCTGACCAGCCTAGGCAACATGGTGAGACCCCATCTCTACAAAAGGTTAAAAAATTAGCTGAACATGGTGGTGCACTCCTGTAGTCCCAGCTACTTGGGAGGCCGAGGTGGGAGAATCACTTGAGCCCAGGAGGTTAAGGCTGCAGTGAGCTATGATGGTGCCACAGCACTCTGGCCTGGGCGACAGGGCAAGACCCTATCGCCAAAAACAAGCAAAAACATTGATCTGCAGTCTTAGTCCCAGGGCAAGGAACACACAAGCTGGAAGATATCTAGATGCCCTCTGTGTGGTGACGAAAAGGCTGCGGTGACTTATGCATGTATTCAGCCAGCAGGTATGGAGCACCTCCCCTTTGCCTGACATGTGGCTGCCCTGGGGGAGCAGGGCCTCTGCCTGCAGGGCCTGGTTAGGGGAGATGGGGCAGACTGGGAGAGGTGGGGGGACATGGAGTCAGATTGGGGGAGAGATGGGGCAGATTGGGGAGACAGCAGACTGGGGGAAATGGCAGAGTGGGGGAGATGGGAGGACATGGAGTCACACTGGGGAAGAGAGGGGCAGATTGGAGAGATGGCAGATTGGGTGAGATGGGGCAGACTAGGGGACATGGGGCACATGGAGTCAGTTTGGGAAAGGGACAGATTGGGGAGATGGCAGACTGGGGGAGATGGGGCAAATTGGGGGAGATGGCAGATTGGGGAGATGAAGCTATGATGGGGCAGATCCTGGGAGATGGAGGGACATGGAGTCAGATTGGGGGAGAGATGGGGACAGATGGGGGAAATGGGGCAATAGGGGCAGATTGGGGGAGATGGGGAAGTAGGGGGACGATGGCGGCCGTGGGGGTGGTCAGAGGCAAGCCCGTGCCATGGGCAGGGGCGCTGCGTGGGGGGGGGGTGGAAGAGGGGTGCTCCCTGCGCGTTCGGGAGCTGCCAAGAGCCACACAGCTCGTGCAGCTGGAGCGGAAGCCCTGGCAGCCAGAGCAGCCTAGTGGGAAGGGCCGGGGGCGGCAGCGGGGTCCCCCTGCCCGCTCCCTCGCCGAAGCCCCGTCCTCCCCGCGCCGAGGTCCCGCCCCCGCAGCGCGCGGTGGCGTCACCGTCCAGCCGGCTGGATCTGGTTCCAGCCGCGCCGGGCCGGCTGGGCATGCGCGGTGCGCTGGCGCTGCGGGGGTTGCTGGAGGCACGGTCCGGGCGGTGAGCACTGCGGCCGCGTCCCTGCCCCGGCGCCGTCCGTGCCCGCGGGACCTGACAGCCGGGGCAGAGGTCAGTGCGCGGGGCCGTGGCCCGGACCCGGCCTACTGGGATGGGAGGGGACGGGAGATGGGAGGAGAGGAGTCCGCCCCAGCCCCGCCCCGCGGCGGCAGGTGGGCGCTCCCGCGGGAGGCAGGGGCGTCCGAGCGTTGTTGCAGGCCCCGCTCCGCCCTGCAGCGCATGGGCAGGCCCTGGACAACCCCGCTCCTCCTCCCACTCTCCTGGGGACGCGAGACCCGGCCGCGGGGGGCAGGGCGGGGGGTCCAGGCCCTGTGGGCGCTATGGGAGCGGCCAGGGTCCCCAGCCGCGAGGCAGCCACCGGGGAGACTCGAGATGTGTGGACCCCAGGAGGTCTGGAGCCGCCAGGTGACCCTGAGCGCCCCTCCCCGGGGAGGGCCCGTGCCGCCCGCAGCGCCGCCTCGCTCCTCCTTTTGCCTTTGCTTGGGGAGGGAAAGCCCGGGACTTCCTTGCCTGGGGTGAGGCGGCCCCCACTGGCGCGGCGGACGCTAGTGAGAAGCGGTGTCAACTAAAGAAAAGACTCGCAGTGAAAACAACTGGGTTACCTTTCCTCGGAAGTCTTCCTGAGGACGGCACAGCAGGCCGGCCGCTCCTTCCAGACTCAGCGCCGGCCTGCGCAATCTCGCCCGGGTTTGGGTGGAGAGCGCAGACGGCTTTGATGCCAGTCTTTCCTCTTCTGAGGAAGCTGTGACCCGGGCAGGAGACGGCCCGTGCTGGTCCTGCGCTGCGTCCTGGAGCATCCTCAGAGCGGCTGTGCACACAGCCAGGGGCCGGGACCAGGCGTCCTCCTAGCCTTTTGCTTGGCCTCACAGCTGCTGAGACGGCAAGAATGGTGACCGTTGCTTCAGAGTCCTTTGGTTCAGAATAACTCATCTCATTGACAGTGTGGTTTTTAGGAATTGGTTGTGTTCACTGAGGAGTTGTGGCAAAGTGAGGAAAACCTAACCCATCCTTAGTTCCCAAATGTGAGTGTTTTAAACTATGTAACAGCTAACGAAACTGACAAATTGATACAGCTTATGGAGATTGAATTTTGATTCTGCCATGTCCTCATTTTAGAGCCGGTAACATATCTTGATTTTTTTCCCCGTAGCTCAAATATCTTCCAGGCTCCTGCACGGCCTGAGATGTAACTCCGCACCCAGGAGACCCTGGGGTGAGAAGGAAGGGGAGGGCCTCAGATGAGAGTGTAGTTTTGGTGTTTTCAGTTTATACAAAAAGCCCTGGCATTTTCCCGACAACACAGAGCAAACACACCGGCAGAATGAAGCCCAGAGGCTGCCTGGTGAAGTGGGCAGCACGCTTGAAAATCTGCGTGTGTGGAGTGGCTTGGTTCCATCTTCCAGGAGCGTGCAAGGCCCTTTCAGGCGCTGCGGGAGCCTCGCCTTCTGCCCAGGCTTCGGAGCCAGGTGCTGGAGCCTCAGCAACAGAGGGGCATGGATGTCTTTGCACTTTTCCCGTATGTTTTTCAGACGTTACTGATCTGATTTTCAGTACAGTGGCGGGATCAGCATTGAAGAACTGGGAGCGGCTGTGAGCTGACTTCCTGCAAGTGGTTGAGAAGTGGGCTTTGTGTATTAACCGCCCCTGTGCTTATCGGCGGCTCAGCCCTGGCGGTGCTGCCCCTGGCCTGCCGGAGCTACCTTCCCTTAGAAACAATGCTGCCTCCAACTGCTAGTTAGCTGTGGCTTCCACAGGAGAAGCCAAGGCAGGCTCGTGTTTTCACAGCTAGGAAGGACATGGGCCTGGCAGGGAGCTGCAGCACAGCCTCTGGCAACACAGAAGCACAGCTGTGTGTGACCCTTGCCTGCCACTCATGTGCCCAGCAACCAGAGCGGTGGCCTCACATGAGCTCTTCAGCGATGCAGGATGCAACTAGGCTCCACGCCTCAATTGGCCCAATAGTAACGAAAGAAACGAGGAGTGTCGTGAATCCTTAGGAGTCCACATACTTAAGCTCAAATTAGAGCCGCCCAGCCCTACATGTTGTGACAAAGCGGCTGTTTTGTGGGGGCCTGTATCACTCCCCTGGATGTGGGAGCACCAGCATCTGGGAGGTGACGGGGGGTCAGGGCCTCTGGGATCTGGAGACCCAGGGAGACCAGCTTTGGGGTCAGGAGGCCTGCTTCTGCCCAGCAATTCATGATTCCCTCCAAGGCAGCTGAGGCTTGGAGCTGCGGCAGGGCCTACCGGGCCAGAGGCAGAAGGGAGCCCTCAGTCCCAGGCAGCGTCCTGGTGGGTGTATGTTCTGTGCCAGACGATGGTCATAGAGGCTGAGAAAGGAAAGGACCCCAGTCTGCCTCTGGTGGCCTGAGGAATGGAGGAGACAGTGAAAGGCCCAAGACAAGTGATGCAGGAGTTTCCAGAGTGCAGGGTAATACGGCACGAGAAACACCGGCCCCCAACTCCCATCAGGGAGCCATGCAGCCTCGGCAGGTGCTGAGAGGTTACAGGGCTCTGGTACCAGCCCCATTCCTCCTGAACAGGCGAAGTTGGTCCACATCCCCCCCCCGCCCCCACCCAGCTCTTGTGCTCTATGACTTCAGAATACACAAAGCTGTGTCCACAGGTCTTAGCATCTGTAAGCCCCTCGTCTGCACTGGAGGGTCCCCAGCTGGCACCAGTGCCAGGACAGAGTCCCTCTCCTGACCTGACTTCTGTACCTCCTCACCCACCTCTAGCACTGTCTTGCTAAGGCTTGCTCAGCACAGCACCCATCTCAAGTCCCCAGCACCCACATCCCAGTGAGTCCCCTGCACCCACACCCCAGTGAGTCCCCAGCACCCACATCCCAGTGAGTCCCC